GTGTTCAGCAGCTCTAATTTCAAAGATACTTCTCACAGATATCTCTAGACAAACTACAACCACATAGCAAGGGTGCAAAACCCTTTAAGGGAAGGGATTGACAGGATTGCTTTTAAGGATTTGACAGGGCTCTGAAACTGTAAGCTGTATATTTCTGACCAGCTCTCTGCTGCAAATAAATACTGTAGGACTAAGATTTTCTTAGTAGGACTTGGTGGAAATTGTTTTTTTATTTAGCTTTATTTGCCATGTGTTATAAAAAAATTGGCTTCTTATGTTGAAAGTACCTGTGTGACTCCCTACAGTGCAATACCTTTCTTCAGGACATAGCCAGGCTTATGTGCTTTTTCTGTTGTACAGGTTGCGAACACAAAGAAGGAGACTGCTTTCAAGTGGTATAAGGATGGTTCTGGGATTGACGTCGAAGAAGTGCCTGATCTGCAGAAGGGACAATGTCACCTCAGTATTCCCAGGGTATAGTATCACCTACTGATTAGAAATGACAGCTTTTGCTTGACATGGTATAGATTTGCCAGGCAGAGCACTAAACCATGATTTCTATGAACCATTTTAAGAAAAAGCATGTTTGCTACCCTTCAATTAGCTGGAGAGTAACTAATCCTAGTGAAAGAGTATCTATTTTTGTTATCAGCTCAGACAGTTCATGCTTAAGTTGCTTCAGTGTCCTTAGGTGAACCCTATTTCGTTCTTTCTTATTGCTCCTTAATTTTTCAATTTGTTCAAGCACCTCATTTCTGACAGTTTCAGTTTTATTGCCTCAAATGAAAGGGTTTGAGGTATGGCTTCTTAAGATTTATCTTTATGCAAACAGGATAACCTAGCTTGCGTCTGAAGCCTTAGCTTGCACAGTTGCTGCCTTTGTCGAGTGCCAAAACCTCCCGGGTCGAGATTTTTCTGGTTTCAGCATGATGTGCATTCCATTTAATTGATTTATTTATTTTATTTATTGGTTTCATATTCTTCTAATTTCCTTCCTTCACTGCACTTGCAAGAGGATACTGACTTTCCAGTGGCTTCATTTTTCTTGAGTAGACTTTTTTGGGGGAGCGTGGTTTCTGCTTGTCTTGAATTGCTCTTGTTACTTGTCATTCAATTATATGATGCTTCTGCTATGATTTACTTGTTTGTGGACTTGCATAAGTCTAAGACTCAATTAAATAACCTCCAATCTATATATAATTATTTAGATTTTTTCCTTCAGGTTTTAAAATAAATTAAAATAAAAACACCCAACACAAAAACCCCTACTGCCTTTAATGCAGTATCACTGTGTTAGATTTTAGAATGTAAGCTCCCCAAGGGTAATGAATTCATTATTTAGCACAGATATAATTTGACTACAGTTGCTGTTGATATTTGGACAGTTAAAGCATATAGATCTGTTGTTATGCTTTACATAGATTAATTCAAAAAAGTAATCAATTTGGTTAAAGAAAAATTGCATTTCTAAAGCTTGTGTGGGTTGAAGTTACCCTCTGTTACATCTTGCTACACTACTCGTAATTTCTACTGACCAGAATCAATTCTGTTTGTGTTTTTGGAATGAGAGAAAAAACATGGTTTCTCAAGGCAACTGAACTGAAATCAGAACATGTTTTAGGCTTAAGAACTAACTACAGCTCCATAAAAAAGCATGCACAAGCCATCTCTGGTAAGATTATTTAACCAGAATGCAGTAAAATGAATGTTGTTTGATTTAGAAAATCATGCAGGGGTTGAGCAAATGTTGTACTATTATCAAATTTGTCAGTAACTATCTTGTATTTTCCTTGTAGCTGTCTCGCAAAGATGAAGGAGTTTATAAGGCAACGCTATCAGATGATAGAGGTCATGATGTATCTACTCTGGAATTATCAGGAAAAGGTAACATTCAGTTTACTATATTTAAACAATGGTCTCCACATGTTCTCAAGAGGTGTCAAAGATCTATCCTTGCAAATGACAAGTTAGCAAATATTTTTGGGAGCCTTTGCATTTCAATTCTCTTCTTATGGTATAAAGGCCTGAACTGCAGATCACCAATTTAGGAGAGTGACACTGGGCATTGTAATAATTAATCTCTAGCTCTCTGACAGGAAAAAAAATGAAATAAGATTCTAATCAGACAGACACCTGCTTTTATGTGATATTTTTTGTAAAGAGCTCCCTCGCTCTCAAATTTGTTAAGCTTTAATGTCTCCAAAAAACCCCTAAAGCACCGAAGTGCTGAATATGTTGATGTGGGAATGTCAGTGGGGACTGAGAGTTATTTTGATTGTAAAATCTTAAAGCTGTTTTGTGGGTTAACTCCAGTAGGCAACTAAGCACCACACAGCCGCTTGCTCACACCCCTTCAGCGAGATGAGGGAGAGAATTGGAAGGGGAAAAGCGAGAAAACTCGTGGGTTGAGATAAAGACAATTTAATAGGTAAAGCAAAAACTGTGCATGCAGGCAAAGCAAAATAAAGAATTCATTCACTGCGTCCCACCTGCAGGCAGGTGTTCAGCCACCTCCAGGAAAGCAGGGCTCCATTACACGTGACAGTTACTTGGGGAGACCAATGCTATAACTCTGAATGTCCCCCACTTCCTCCTTCTTCCCCCAGCTTTTATTACTGAGCATGATGTCATATGGTATGGAATATCCCTTTGGTCAGTTGGGGTCAGCTGTCCCAGCTGTGTCCCCTCCCAACTCCTTGTGCACCCCCAGCCTGCTCGCTGGTGGGATGGGGTGAGAAGCAGAAAAGGCCTTGACTCTGTGTAAGCACTGCTCAGAAATAATGAAAACATCCCTGTATTATCAACACTGTTTTAGTCCCAAATCCAAAACACAGCACCATGCAAACTGCTATGAAGAAAATTAACTCTATCCCAGCCAAAACCAGTACAATCTTCGCCCACATTCCATACCATTTATGTCACGCTCAGGTCCCACAGTATCCAATACACCCTCATTAACTACATCCTCCCTTTCTGTCCTTTGATATATACACAGATATAATTCCCTTAGTCTATGGATTTTCAAGTAAGGGGTATCCTGACCACTGGAATAAAGAAAAGGTACAGTAGTTCTCCATCTTGAGGTCAGGGGTCCTTCCAGATTCCCAAGACTATACTTCAGGTATGGCAAGACTGTGCCGTGCTGGAAATGTACAGTGAAATGCCTATTTAGAGAATTTACGGTGTTTAATTCTGTGGGTCCAGGAGGCTTTGGAAATGTCAACCCAGAAAACCACAAGAACTGCAGTGTTAAACCAAACAGTGGGTGTCCTAAATGTTGGAGTTCAAACATAAAGGATAAACTGAGAAGTTTAGCATGAATGGGGCCCTGGAAGACTGCATATTGTATGTGGCAGGTTAGTTCAAGCTCAGTGTGCATTGGCATTCAAACGAAGATAGGTGCAAATAATGGTAAGAGAATCCAGTCTAAAATACACCAATGATAGGCATTTAAATAAGGTTTCATATGTTATCAGATATCACAGTGATCTACTGTAATTCTATGAATATTTAGATTTGTTCAGTAAAAAAAAAGTTAGTTTACTTCTGAGTTTATAGCAAAGACTGATCTGTTGCCAAGATAGAGGGTTTTTACTCCGCTTTGGTAGAGAGAGCTTCCCTGAGATTCTTTGCTTAGGTCCCACCAACTAGGCCAAATTGAACCTGGATTCATCCCACCTGCATGTAGACATTTGACTCAAATTATGAATATTTTTGCTGGGTCGTAATAGAGGGAGAAAGACCTGTTCAAAATTAACTCAGTTTACCAAAGATCTTAACATGGGGATTTTTTCAGCAGGTTGGGGAAGTACCTGAAATAAGAGGAAAAGTTGAATATCAGACTGAGTTCTTAAGCTGTGGTTTGCTTCAGAAGGCTGTATCATCACTTGATAGTCTCTCAGGAATTTTTCCTCTGCATAAATTCTGCCCATTATTCTTTCAGAAAAAACATCTCATTTAGACAGTATAGGTAATATAACCCTACTTTCCCAGACGTTTGTAATGTAATGTATATATAGTATGCAATTCATGTCCTGATGTCAACATGCCAGTAGAAGCATACTGGAGTTTGCAGAGGGTTACGGAATTGAATCATGATTTATTTTAGCAGAGACAAAAAATGTGCAGATACAGATCAATATAGACCAAACATACAAGTAGTATTTTCTGAACTTCATGCATTTCACTGTCTTCCCTACTGATGAAAATTCTTCAGTCTTGAATATGCATTCTTCAGTCTTGAATATGCATTCTTCAGATTATGGTGCTTCTTTCTTTCTCTCTCTTTCCATCTTACACAGTGACACTGAATAGGATTCTTCTGCTATGAAAGAGTTCCCTGCTCTTCTGCCTTTGTCTCCAGGGTTCTCCCCTTCTGCAAACCCATCAGCTCTGTGATATTTCAAAAGCTTGATATGATACCTGGTTTCTTTCACTTGCTGCTGAAGGGGTTTACATTTGTCAAATGCCGTCCTACAGGGAGCAGGTGAAAACTGTTTTCGCCTAGAATGCGATAATTTCTCTTTCCCCTGCACTCTCCTTTGAATGTGAACTATCCAGTTTTTATGACCTTTTATTGTTTCTGGCCTGAGGGATACAAAGACAAAGATTTGACAGCAGACGGCTGACTCCACACACAGCGGAGATACTGAATGACACAGCGCAGAATTCATATGCTGTACACAGTCTCCAATTTGTCCCATATACCTGTTGCAATTTTAATGTTTTTTTTTGCCTAAGGACGTGAAGATTTACCATACTGCTTTAATTAAACTGAACATAACAAAGCTATATTCTGATTGAATTCTGATGGTACATGTTCGTTCTTTTTTTTTTTTTTTTCCTTCAGTGTATGATGATATAATTCTGGCATTGAGCGGAGTGAGTGGTAAGTAAATGCTGTCTTGGATTTTCATGTAGGTTTTTGGTGTTAAAGTCATTTGAGCCTGAGGCAGACAATTTTTATTGTAAGTGGGAAATCTCTGAAAGTCATGATGCTTATATTATTATGGACATGTTATTAGGTTTCTGAATAGGCAGTTGACCTTGCTAATTGACACTATTAAAAGGGAACAAAACATTATTCCACCTGGCTTGTTTGGTTTAGATACTGTGACAATGTTGTAGCGATAATTTTCTTCCTACTTCCCATTAGTAAGTGAACCTTGATACAGAGAGAATAAGATTCTGATCCTGCTCTCAGTGAGAAGTCGGGAGTCATTCCACTGAAAGAACAGGGGTTGCATAAGAATAAAATTTTTGTGCAGTTAGAATCAAGACACTACTGTTTCACAGCAATTACATGACTAGCTTATTATTTCACAATGGATCTTGCTAGTCATAATGCTTGTATATGACAATAAAACCATAAACTCATACTGAGCTTTCACCTGATATAATCAGCAGATCTCCTTTGAGAGGCATGAACAATTTTCTCTTTGTGGTAGTCGAAAGTCATGGCCCAGATCTTGAAATTTTTTTTGTCCTGACAGTACAAGTAGTCCATTTGACTGTTTCCTGTTCATTCCACTATCCTGTTTGATCTGCATATATTCTATTTTACGTAGGTAAGTCAGCATCTCCACTGAAGATCCTTTGCACTGAGGAAGGAATAAGGCTCCAGTGTTTCTTGAAGTACTACAATGAAGAAATGAAAGTCAACTGGTCTCACAGGTAGATGAGAATATTTTTTAAATTTTATTTAAGAAAAAATGCTGTCTTTATGATTTACTATTTACTATTCTGTGGCATTGATTTAGGAACTGGACCACATTAATGAATTTGTCTTTCCAGCACTTTATATTCTCTTTTCACATAGTATATACAGTAAAAGAAATATTAACAGACTTGCCCAACACCTATCAGGAGGGCTGTAACAGCCAGGAGAAAAGAATCTACAGTATTCCAGCCTCTTACTCAACACAAGACTGTTTGTCTTCCACTATATTATCTGGCTGGTTCAAAGACAGCAAAATATTTGAGCACGGTTTTCTATTCAGGGCTGCCCTTTTCTTTAAATGGATGAAATTCTCCTCAAGTACTAGGTGAATACCAAGGAACTGCTCTCACAGTTTAATAAAAGCCTGTATTAAGGAAGGAAATTTTTTTTTTCAAACTGGTACAGTCTTAAGTAACCCAAAATATTTTGATTCTGTTCCTATTCTTTAAAAAGATATTCAATGTGGCACAGAATACTTTGAGAATAGCCCTCAGAGCTAAGAATATGACCAGAAATGAGCTTTAAAGTTCCCAATAGTTTTCCGCCCTCATGCTACATTAGTCTTTGACTTTGGCAGCACTCTGTTCATCTGTGTATTTACAGTTAAATGTGTGTTCAAATGCTTTGCTATGTGAGGCCCTCATTTGTTTGAAACCACAGGTAAGGTTTGGAAGGATTTTAAAACTCTTCAAGTGGTTTCAACTTTCACATTCCTTGATGGTCTACAAAGAGGACATACAGTGAACTGGACAGGAAGAGGCTGGTTTATCAGCATGTTGTCCTAGTTTTGCAATGATGTCCAGCCCTTGATTTCTATGAATACAGGAACACAAGTGTCAGTGATCAGGTCCAGGGAGCTTGAGAACACTTCTGCACGGGTGTGCAGCTGTTGCGTTTTAACCCCAGCCAGTAACTAAGGACCACAGAGCTGTTTGCTGACTCCCCACTGGTGGGAAGGGGGATTGAATCAGAAGAGTAACAGCAAGAAAACTCGTGGGTTGAGATAAAGACAGTTTAATAGGTAAAGCAAAAACTGTGCATGCAGGCAAAGCAAAATAAGGAATTCATTCACTGCTTCCCACCTGCAGGCAGGTGTTCAGCTACCTCCAGGAAAGCAGGGCTCCATTACATGTGACAGTTACTTGGGGAGACCAATGCTATAACTCTGAATGTCCCCCACTTCCTCCTTCTTCCCCCAGCTTTTGTTACTGAGCATGACGTCATATGGTATGGAATATCCCTTTGGTCAGTTGGGGTCAGCTGTCCCGGCTGTGTCCCCTCCCAACTCCTTGTGCACCCCCAGCCTGCTCGCTGGTGGGATGGGGTGAGAAGCAGAAAAGGCCTTGACTCTGTGTAAGCACTGCTCAGCAGTAACTAAAACATCCCTGTATTATCAACACTGTTTTAGTCCCAAATCCAAAACACAGCACCGTGCAAACTGCTATGAAGAAAATTAACTCTATCCCAGCCAAACCAGCACAACTCATAGCTCAAGTTTGTATTCAGTAAGTTCTCCTCCTTCTTTCAGTAAATGTGATACTAATATAATGGAAAGGAAAAAAAAAAATATTTTTTGTTTCTGCCTTGTACAATATCTGATTGAGTTTTAAAAGTGACAGTCCATTCCACCACAGAGTTCATAGAAATATAAAACTAGAGAATGCTACATGGCTAATATGGAAATATCAGTGTACATATATATATTTACATATAGATACTTCCCCCCCC